CGACGATTCATATACAATCATTTTCATATAAATCATCCTGTATGAACTCCATTTTGAGTTTTTGTATCCGGATACTGTCACATTACACATTAACTAACTATTGACGTATGCAAACACTTCATGTATGTACTGCACGAATAAACTTCTATTCTATTCTATTCTATTCTATTCTATTCTATTCTATTCTAACTATCCACCCAATGTGAATTTTTCGAAAAACATTACGAACTTTGGGATTTTTCATCTATGAACATTCCGAGTTATTCAATTATTCGTTGATAAAATGTATCATTTCAAGAAAGAAGATATGTCTCCTGAATAGATAGTCTGATTGAAACAATTTCGGAATATTTTCGGCAGAAGACATCAAACTTCATGATCATGGTCGAAAAAAAAAATATAAAAAATATTCACTCAAACGGGAATGTAACGACACCGCTGCAATATTACACTACCTAAAAGAGTATCATCTGGAATATTCGTAGTCTCATCATATTGCTCTGACGAGTAACTGAAAGAATGAACTAGCCAACTGTGAAAACCGAATAGAAATTAGCTATGGGATCCATGAGTAATTCGATTTTGAAATCTGCCTATATTTTGGACCACGATGTTGATTTTGTTGATCAGATATGGTATCTGAGCTACTCAATTTTATAATCAAGTTGTGAACTTATACACTCTGTATCTCATATGATTATACTAGAATGTTTAAAAATTTGGAGAATGCAATGGTCGCACCCACCGATTAATCCATTCATCTTAAAATAATTTAGCGAGTTCGCCAAACGTTGCAATTTTCAATATACAGGGTGATTCAGGTATTAACGTACAAACTGAAATGGCTGATAGATCTCATCATTATTATCAAAAAAGTTAATATAAACATGATTCCGATCTCGATCAGAAGCTGAGCTACAGGGGGTCAAAGTTCATATTTTCATTTTTATTAATTGAAATATCTCGCTCACCTCTGGAAATATAGATTTAAAATTTGGTGTGGTTGATACTTCCTAGGAGATCATCGTATCAAGGATTTTGAGGATCTTCAATATCTACAGAGTTATAAGTTTTTAGGGGTGAAGGGCTCTATATCCCCCCAAACCTTTTCGTAGTACTCCTCTGTTCTTCAGTTGACGAATTGGGTATTTCGTATAATTTAGAGGCTTTTTCTGCTCCTCAATTTTTTTCGAGAAGGGAACTGTTTTCGGGATACATAAGCATATTATCCGTTCTGAAACATGTTAAGTTTGCCTATTTTTCGGTGAAATTATATTCTTGTACAAAATCTGTTGAAAATGCATTGAGATGTACCCGAATTGCAATGTTTTCAAGCATTAGTCCTATCTGGATCAGTAGCGCGAATAGAGAGGGTAGAAGGTGAAGGATTTTTTCAAACTGACCAATCCAAAATAAAAACGACGAGGAAAATTTGTGTTGAGCCACTGGTTAAGCCTCATTCAGTCCATATTCCTTGTCTGATATCTTGAATGTCGAAAAGAATTTATGACCCACAACCATTCAACCAACTCCGAAAACTAAAAAAAATTCTTGACCATTTACCCTTTGTATCCCCGCAATTGATCTGGATTAGACTCTGAAAGACTCCAATTTTAGTATATTTCATTGCATTTTCAACGTATTTTGTCCAAGAATAAAATTTACGCGAAACATAGGCCAATCTCCAAAATCCTAAAAACGATGAACCTCTAGGAAGTATTGACCACACCAAATTCAAAATTGATATCTCCAGTAGTGAGCAAAATAATTAAATTAAGTAATTAAGAATTGAACTTTAACCCCCTGTAGCTCCAATATACTGATCGAAATCGGACTCATGTTTATATAAACTTTTTTGATCAAAATTATGAGATCTATCACCCATTTCAGTTTGTACCTCAAAACCTGAGTCTCCCTGTATACCACATACACGGATTATTTTTCATATCGTGGAGCGCACGAAAGGGATTCTCTCTCATATTCCAGAGATATCGTGTGCTACCCAGGGATTTTCATGTTCAGATTTTAGTAGCGAATACCATGTTCTGTCTATATCAACTGAACAAGAAGCAATGCTATTGTCTCCGTTCAGAAGAATGCAAGCAGATTCCTTGATTTTTCTCTTATGGTTGTTATCTTCTTTTCCAATGATTTCAATATTATTCCACTCTGCCAACGTCACCAATTGTCAATGAAAACTGAGAAGCTTCAAGACAGATACGACTTTGCTATTAAAATAATCATTTCTCATGTTGAAAACGGGAGCAGAATCGGTCCCGAAACGTCCAAAGATAAGTGAAAATTTGATATTTTTTCTATATACCTCAATTTCTTTAATCCAAACTTTTTTCAATACGAATTGTCACTGACAAGCTAGTGAATTTTTCTTTTAGGCTCTCTGATAGGAAAATTCTTTAAACGCAGTGACATTTTGTGACAAATCATCTGATTTGTCCTTACTACACGAATATTGAAATAATATTCATATTTTTATTTAATAGAAACGAGGAGAGGGAATCCCAAAAAATTTGGAATAATGAATGTACCACCTCCTCGATTAACCTACAGACAGTATTTGATAGTTAAGTTTATAGCAAAAAGTTAATCCTCTATATCGTTTTTGTAAACTGTGACATGGAATTTTCAAGGGTCACAAACAAACATCAAAAATAAATTTCTGGTGTTGAGTTGGCGAGAATTCGGTCGAAATGTTGAAGAAAACCAATTTTTGAATTGTCGACGTTTCGAAACTTTATTGTTCCATCTTCAGGACACTGAGGTAAAAACAAGAACATACATATCAAAATGATATTTTAAAATAAGGGGTTTTGATAAAACACTTCTCACACTTTACAGAAAACAACATTGATAGATACTTTTATTTAGGGTGGCTTTCCGGGTTTAAAAATAGTGTGTTAAGGTCTTTCATGAACCTGTGTGCACGTATTTATACTTTATGTCGATTTTATTTATTTCACTATTTTTAAACCCGGAAAGCCACCCTAAATGTAAGTATCTATCAATGTTGTTTTCTGTAAAGTGTGAGAAGTGTTTTATTTTTAACGATTGTTATTTTACATAACTTATTTTGCTTCCATCAAAACCCTTCATTTCAAAATATCCTTTTGATATGTATGTTCTTGTTTTTACTTCAGTGTCCTGAAGATGAAACAGTAAAGTTTCGACAATTTAAAAATTGATTTTCTTCAACATTTCGACCGAATTCCCGCCAACTCAACACCAGAAATCATATTCAACAGTCGCCATTCTATTCATCAAAAATAAAATATTTCAAATTTTCCTTACACCTTCCCTGCAGTTCGAAAAAAAACTATAAATTTTATGAAAAAACGAATATTTGGTAAAAATGTATTTATACGGAAATTATTATTTTGCAACCCATAAATTTCACGAATAAAAGTGGGACTTACATTTTCAATGCTTCAGCTCAATATGGAAATCAACATATTATTTTATCTTCAGGCCTGGATTTAGTAATTAAATTTTTTGGTGCAGAATAATAATCACCCTGTTGATCTTTTTCGAATCAGTGGATGGGGTATATGTGGAAATGCTGATTGCCATCGCTATAAATAATTTTATGATTTCAATTTACAGTTTCATCTAATCGATTTGTTTTATTCAGTTAATTTGGTTACTCATTTTCCGTACTAGAATTATTATCCGTCTTTGTCAGTATAGCTTTTGAAAAATAATTGTGACCCAACCTTTATTTTCTGTTCGACTAACTTGTATTATTTGAATCGATGACCATCATTATCTAAACAGATACCCCATCCACTGATTCGAAAAATATCTACAGGGTGATTATTACCCTCCACATAAAATGAAATGGCGAAATCCAGGCCTGAAAATGAGAGAACATGTTGATTTCCATTGGGCTACAGCATAGAAAATGTGAGTCTTACTTTTATTTGTGAAATTTATGCGTTGCGAGTTATTTTCGAATGAATAAAATTTTTCGTCTAACTTTAATTTCCGCTCATAATTTATAGTTTTTTGAAAAATTTTGTGAATTTTGAATTTTGAATATTTTATTTTTGATGCTTGTTTGTGTGCTTTGAAAATTCCCTGCCACAGTTTGAAAAAACCATATACGAGGTGAAATTTTTGATAAAAACTAAAGTATCGTAATTTTTTGAAAACGTTCCTGAATTTTTTCGATTCTGAATAGGTCAGTCGCTAAGGCTATAGTAGAGGAATATACCATGTGAAAATCAGAGGAAACGAAGGAGCTGTTGAGAAGTACCTAATGAAAAATGGTTATTTATGTATTAAGGGAATTATGAGGGCCTTAATTACCGATGGCAAAGTTTGCGTCCCGAGGGCCTCTGGCCCGAGGGACAGCAATTGCCAGAGGTTATTAAGGCTCTATAATTCCCGTGATACATAGATAATTTTATTTCTGACTGATTTCATTCATTAGATACCTTCTCGATTGGAAGTTAGACATGTTTTTCCGTATAGTTTCAATGTCATCAGAACGTCAGATGATGATCTTGACTACCGCGAATAGGAGATTCCTTATTGCTACGTTATTGCGTGGTTGTTGCTATGCATTTCTTATTTAATTTTAGCTAGAGGGAATTATAGCATCTATAACATCCCAAGGGAGTTATGACCCTCCTAATTGATAGTGTAACTAAGATGATATAAGCTTATAATATACCAGTCAGAAATAAAAGATGTTTTTGCCAAATCTCACAATTCACTATATATATTGGTAAAGAAGAGAAGAAGACACTTTCTGATGACCATTTAAGGTATTCCCCTCAAGGTCCTCTATTCGTGGTAGGACTATGTACAGTTCCTCATGACTCACCCTGTATATTCCATGAAAATTTCAAGTCGAATTTCAAATGAGATCCGATAGTGAAATGCTTCCGACCCCAGAGGAGGCGTGAGAGCTGAAACAGAGATAGAGCTCTCGAAAGAGCATCGGCGTTGGCGAATGGCGGAGCTACGACTGCGGGACCGGCAGTTCGTTGGAAGCCTTCGCCGTAATGGCATCGCGCTGGTTATCGTAGCAACGTTTCGAGCACGTGCTTGTCAACGAGATGCTTCGCGTCAACATGCCGAAACGGAGCAAGTGGCCGACGCTGGGATTCGACGTCGATGTTGTGTGCTTGGTGCTGTTTTGTTGGGTGTGCTTGGTGCAGAGGACTGACGCTCAAGGTAATGGGCCTGTCTCAGTGAAACATTCCATTTTATTATTTTGAAGAACTAACCCTTCAGGGAAGCGCCAACTATGTGGCGAATGTGGGCAGAAGCCACGGCAGCAAAATGCAAGGGCGACAATTTGGCTAAATAAAACGTACTAACGACCTCTTCTTTCTAATGTCGCGCTTCGGTGTAACCTAAAATTCGACCTCAAGAGTAACCTGCAGTATAACCAAAGCGTTACCTCAAAGCTCGCCTAAGAGCGATCTCAAAAGTATGACTGTTAGATAATAAAAGTGTAACCGAGGGGTAAACCGCAGTCAAAATTGTGTACACCAAACTTCAATTTCACAAGGAATTTCAAGGAGTTCCATTATACACCAGAATTATACCGCACTTCACACAAGGAATTCCAAGAAACTCCAAGGAATTCTAAGGAAATCCACGGAATTCCACGGAATTCCAAGGAAATCCAAGGAAATCCAAGTTGATCCAAGAAATTCCTTGGAATTCTAAGGAAATCCAAGGAATTTCAAGGAATTTCAGTTGTTTGTAGCTCAGGAATATACCGCATTTCACCCAAGAAATTCCAGGGAATTCCAAGGAAATCCAAGGAATTCCAAGGAATTTCAAGGAAATCCAGGGAATTCCAAGGAATTCCAGTTGTTTGTACACCAGAATTCCACCGTGGTTTACCACTTGAGTGTAACCAACTGTTACCTAAAGTATAAGCAACTGTTTCCTCCTTGCCTTTCAAGTGTAAGAGGTAACATATCTCGAAAAATATATTACTTATTCGAATATTTATAAAGTTGAATAAGGATCCATATCTAAACAAAAAACAAAATAATGGACAGACCGGTAATTTGCTTGCAATGAGTTATTTTATGCACTAGCGGGCGGTAAATTGCACTTCACCGCCCGGTTTTGCGGGCGTTAAGTGTCACTTCACCGCCTGCGGACCCATTATGGCCCGCGGGCCGTAAAGTACTTCTCTGTTCTCAAATTCCTTATATACACATAACAATTAATGAAATAACTATGTTTGCACTCTGAACTGCTTCTATGATTTCCAGCAGTATATTGTATACATGTTCTTCTTCATCCCTTTTCATGAATCTTATCACATCACTTATCACTTATCAACTAACGCACTTCTTTAAAGTTTTCACCCACAGGTTGACAATTTAGCTTGATTTTGTTGCAACAGCTATATCCGCTTGATTGACAACTGCATCAAAATTAGGTAGATATGTACTGATTTTGATCCATACTCACATCTCTATAATTGTGATTAGTAGTGGTACCTCAGTTGGAAGTATACCATGAAATACATAAGAATAATCATGAATGATCATGGAATAATCCATGAACAATAAATACTTTTTTTATCTCATGAGGCGCACTAATGGGATTCCTATATTGTTTGGAGAACATCGTGCGTACTCATAGGGAGGATAGGGAGAGAAAGAGGTAGTAGTTATTGGAATATTTTGAACTCTTGGAGGTCATACATTCTTGGGAATATTTCCTTTGGCAAAGAGTTCCAAAGCTTTGCCGTTCTATAGACCCACGAGTTTTGGTAAAGAGTTATTCGACATATCTTCATTCCGACTGGGCTTGTCGAGTTCGTCTGACTGGTATTGCCGGGTATTGCTAGTAATGTAATGAATGATAGCAGTGATTCCTAACACAATGGCTTGAGTTTTGATGGCGTTGCATTCAATAAGGTTGTTGGTTCCCCAGGCTGTAATTCAAGCAAGTTCTTCATGGACAGCGCTGAGCTGCCTTCGTTGTGAGTTCTTCGTTTTCTGAGAAGGAATGAGAATTCTGCAAAGCTGTGTGCAAATCTGTGTGGATAGCGGGGTGGATAGGCAAGTGGTAACTCTCAATAGATCATTGATATGAAGTAGGAAAAATGGTGGTGCCGAAATGGATCCTTTTGGAAAACCGAAATCGATGGGTATCAGACGATAGCCCGTCTATCACCACATGGAGCGATCTGCCTGAAAGAAAGCTCGTCAAAAGCTGGCCTGGCTGGATTGGCAATCCGTATGATGTTGGTTTGTGGAGAAGTCCTTGGTGCCAAACAAGGTCGAGATCTTTCGATATATTACATAACCTGAGATCTAACCCCACAGCTTCATAATCCCCATGTTTTCCTAATGAATCTTGCCATATATGACTGATGTGGGCAAGAAAATTTCCAGTTGATCTTCAATGACAAAAGCGTGGGCAAAAGCCATATTGTCTAGCATTGATGATTCCTGAGCTGTCTAGATATTTGATAAGCTCGATGTTGGTGATTTTCTCTATCGCTTTGGAGATCACTGATAACTGGAAAATTGGTCTATGGTTGTTGAGGTAGTAAATGTTTACTTTTTTGGGGGATTTGTCAGACTATAGCTATTTTTCAGCACGAAGCACGATAACAACCGAGATAACAACACACCAGACTTGTATGAGATGGTAAATAACTTGCAGAGAATCTTTGTCAATTCGGGTGCACACTCTGGGAATAATGGGTGAAATTCCATCAGGACCGATCGCCTTATTCGTTTGGGGACCAAGCAAAATGACAAAATGCGTCTGATGGTGCGTGGACGCGGAATATTACATTTTCGGGCATTCGACTCACAATGGAAGGCACTCTCCATACTGCGTTCGCCTCTAAAACTTCCATTTCTCCCCAGGAAGCCAAGAACTCACGACGAAGGCAGGTCAAATGCTGTGAATGACGATCTTCCTGAAATTACTGACTGGGGAAACAACAACATAGTTGAATTCAACGCCACCAAAACTCAAGCCTGGATTTTCTCTAGAAAGGCAGAACTCAGTATGCCTGATATAACAATGTCTGGTACTCGGTCTGGTACCACCATTCTCACCAAGACCACAATATCTATGCTCAGTATTTCCATCAGCAACACTTTCATGGGTGAATTATTTCTGATCCATCGCGAAAGCTGGTTCGCAAAACTCGGATTTTTAATCCGTGCGAAAATTTACTTCACTCTTCAATAGCTTTCTATGATCTACAAAGCACAGATACGGCCAGTTTTAGAATACTGTTCACATATGAGGTTGAGCACGCAAACATACACTGATGATCTTAGATTCCTTCCAGAGAAGAGCCATTCGGTGATGTAATTTGATCTCATTAGATAAGCGTAGAAAAGTCAGCGACCTCTTACTCTTCTATACATACTTTCACGGAAAATGTTCCTCAAGAATCTCTGCTATCATTCCATCACTATTACTAGTCAGACGCACTCCACAGGCCTAGTCCGCACATCCTTTCGTTTTCAACCTTGAAATATGTCGAACAAAACTCTACCAAAACTCTATGAAACAAGAAGCTTTGGAATCCTTTGTCAATGAAAGTATTGCCAAGAACTTATAACCTCTAGAAGTTTGAAAAACATTTTCAACGCCTGCCTCCTTTTCGAGCATCATACGAATTTCCTTTCGTGCGCCCCAAGAGATAAATGAAAATTCTTCACTGAGAGTATAAGGTGGAGTTTTGCTGCGACCATCTCAGCTAAAATGTTTGCTTCCTCTTGCCAGAGATTATACACTCTTTGTTGCTAATGTGCCGTCGGCTTTCGAGAGTGGTGGGAAGGTGGGAATGAACCTCGGAATGAACTATTGATGAAATTCCTTTCAACTGCTACAAAATATCCAATTGGAAATATTCCTGGAATATTATTGTCTGAACATTCCTAGTTAAATTTTCTAAGATTATTCAGATTGGAATATTACTCCTAGAATATTCCTATTATATTATTTTGAAATATTATTGGAATATTCATGCAAGTCACGAAGCGGAATAGAAAAAAATTATCTACAAGAATGATTTTTCACTTTTATATTGAAAACAAGATCAGAAGTCACAGGAAGGAAGGAATGCTCGAAGTCATCTCCACAAATTTTAATGATATTTTTAACCGAGTTTTTAACTAAATCATGAGGGACATGTTTCGGTCTTATAAAAGACCATCTTCAGCATAATTGGAAAGTCTACAATACAAAAACAAAGATTAAGATCAGAAGTGTAAATTAGATGTTCATTTGATAAATCTTCTTCAAACATTCTTCTAAACAAGGTGTCACTGTCTATCCATTAAATTTTTCTTCAAGGTTCTCTATAGTGACATTTTTATGCTTACTACAGATTCTTCTCATATTTTTATTCGTAGACATGATGCGAGGACATCTCAACAATATTGACAAACTAGTATACATCCTGGAAAATATCAAAAACAATGATGATGAACTAATTTCTATCAAATCATGATGCAATCAATTTGTTCTGTGAATTATAATCAATGTAATATAATAGTTCTTTTACAGCTGTTCCACACATGTTATTCACATGGCACATGTAGTAGGTACTGTGAGAATAACTTTTTTATATAATCGCGCCTACATTGATTTCACACCATGCAGAAATTGATGAATATGTTCAATGATTCGAATCGTCAACTAGACATTTCGCGAGATGGTACCATGTGGTCCACCATAAACGACACCATAAATTATGTAACCTACTTCTTCATACATTACCAAAAAAAAATCTTATTTTGAAATTCAGTTCTACAAAGGACAAAAGAACTGATATTATATTGAATATCAACATAATATCAATAACTTCGCTATGAATACAAAAATACGTAGGTATCTATACCTCGATCTATACCCACATACTTCCATTTTAGAAATCATGTCGGTAATATCCGAGGTAATATCCATCCAAATTGAAAAAGAGGCGTCAATGTTGAATCAATAGTGTCACAAATTTTTTTTTCAACTCCTTACTCGGTAAGTACTTCATTTTGATACTGATTTGAGGGAGGAAAACACGTTCTACCTCCCTAGGGAGGTAAGTAAATATTTACCTCCCTAGGGAAGCAAGTTAAATAAACTTCATAATTTAACCTAAAAATTGAAGTCCTTGTAACACCGATTGTACCGTTCCTTCGATTTCTGAGGTAATAGAGCAGCACAAGCTGCAT